AAAGTAATCAGTTGAAGGATAAAGTAATCGGTTAGGCACAAATTCTTACATTTTATCTAGCTGTTTCTTGTTTTAGGTTTTCGGTTCCTGGTTCTGCGCGATAACGTCTCGCAGCTATCTAGTAAAGTAAAAGTATTTAATTAACTTGACCCGGGTATATCGGGTAGGATTTTATACCCGGATATCTGTTGATCACCCGGGTAACTCGCCGTGTATACCCGTCAGATAATCGGGTAGGCTTTTTCGATCGGTTACCATCTAGGTACCATCACTAGATGGAATATTTCGGAATTGAACTAGTTGATAATTAAATCGATTAGTTGTTTTAAATTTTTCTAAATCGATTAGTTGGAAGTTGTCAACTAGTTCATTTTCAAATAAACGATTCGGGTCACTAAATCGGGGACTTTGTGCACATTTTTCATGGGGGATCGTCGTTCGATTTTATGGGTCCTGGTGCAATGATTCTCGATGGCCCTTTTGCGTAACGATCGTGGTCCGTTCGAGCGTCATTTCGCGGGTTTTTTTGAGTCTTGGAGTGTTTCTGGTTTTGCCTGTAACAATATATATATATATATGTATCACTTATTCGAAACTTATAGATCATCTATTTAATTCGAAATCAGAAGCTCGGTCATTAACTCCGAAATTTAAATTAGTATAATTTATTTAAAACATTTTCATCGATAGTTATTAAGAAATCTAATAATCTTCTTAACTGAAGTTTCTAAAAATAATTATTTGATCTAATTCAACGAAAATTCTACATATTCGTAGAATTTATTGAAAAGCCTTTTCATTTAAGTTATTATCGTTATTGAAAATCTTTATTTAAAGTTTAGAGCGTTTCAAATTTTTGAATACCTGTTATGTAGTCGCATAGTGCGTGATAATGTGGTGCGGGTAAGTGCCAAAGACATGTGAATAAGTGTCCGGGGATTTTCCGAAGCCATCCACATGTGCAACTGCTCGTTTAAGTATCTTAGCATCGCCACAAAAAACAATTGTACAATAATAAAAAACTATAAAAATGATCATATTTTAGATAATGCAATAAGAAAATCACCAAGATATTAAATAACACTTTGTATACGTACGTAAGTAGCAAACATTTTTTTTTTAAATAGACATACATATTTGTATATAGTATAGAGGCATAGTAAATTACACTACATATAAATAACTTTTTTTGGAAATTAAAAGAATGACAAGTCGTTATTAAGAAAATTAACCGTGTACAAATATTAATTTTTTTTTTTTTTACAATGAATACAGGAGATGATTATCTTATTGTTATTCTGTAATTATTAGAACATACGTAGCAATTCTCGATATAATTTTGAATATTCTATTACTGATATCGCATTTATATTATAAAAATAATTTTAATGTTAAAATTTTAGTCTTGATTGATTCTGATCTTTAATTATTACGTAGTTGCATTTTTTGTAGGGACACCGGGACGTACGTACGTATGTACAGTACGTACGTACGGTTTGTAAAAGGAAAAACTTTGTTAAGCTCATGTTACGTTTGTACTAATCCCAACATGCAATAAGAATTATAAAAATTGAATTTTACAAGTCTATATTAACCATTCTATCAAAATTTAGTATAATTTTTGTGTATGCCCATCCGAATTTGTACTAGCGTACAGTATTATTTTACTGAATACCTCACCCGGACGTACTTATGTACGTACGTACTTGCATTAGATCATACAGCCCTAAACCGGATAGGGATCTAGTTTAAAAACATCTATCCATTTCAGGTATCTATCTAACATCTATCCATTTCAAGTATCCATCTAATCACTGATTTGTAATTTACGTACTTGGGTAGAGTTTCTGGTAAATTTAGATTTTATTAATAGTAACGATAACTTTCAACATGATAACAATATGGAAGATAATTTGGGTTTGGTGCTGAGAAAAGATAAAAAAAAAAGAAGTTTTGCGGAAAATTGATTTTAAATTCTTTAATAAATTATAAGAAAATAAAAACTCTAAAGCAAAATTTTATTAAGACAACATGGACTAATTTTAGATTAATTAGCTCAAAAAAAATTTTTTTTTTTTTTTTTTTTTGATAAATTGTCTTTTTTCAGCACCTAGCCCATTTACGTAGTACGTGCATGCGTATGTACGTCAAAATGTAACCCACTTTACAAATAATAGAGTAATTCATCAGATATCGATATCAGATTACGAATATACACACACACAATGAATCCCTGGGCTATACGTAAGTACTTACCAAAAATAAATATAGCATTGTTACGAAAAACCGCAAAAATAAGGCAATTAATAATGTTTTTTTTTATACTATCGCTGTTATATCGATATGAGTAACACCAAGAAAAAGCCAAACTTCAGCTTAAGAACATAACTTGCTGGATTATAAATTTAAAAGCCAAAAGTCAGGTTTTCTCTTTGCGTCACTATTACATATACGTATATTTTTTTTTTGTGAAACACAGTAAATATAAACTTTTGTAGCCGGGGGGATATATCTTAACAAATCTTTTTTTTTACTACCTTAAAATTATCGAATGTCAAATATGACATTTGAGACATTTTCAGTGATTAATATTTGTAAAAAAAAAATAACAAGGCAAAACCTCATTAATGATATAATCGCTGGCCTCATTGAAAAAGAAAATGACACGAAAGTTTTGCCGACAATAATTCTTTATGATGATCGTGGCTTACAACTTTTTGACCAGATTACTTATATTGACGAATATTATTTGACTAATTGCGAGATCGATATTTTGAATAAGAAGGTTGACCAAATCACGGACTACATCGACTCGGACAGTAGCATTATTGAACTCGGTGCAGGGTAAATATAAAAATATTGTAAAAAAAGTCAATTCTCTTTAACAATGATCTATTGTTGCGACTGACCTGTGATCGGCTGACGCTGTGATTTGAAGCACCTACTAAAATTAACATAATAATACTCTCTTATTAATGATCTAAATCCTAACCTAGTAAACTAACCTAGAACTGAGAAAAATGCTAAAAAAAGAAAAAATACTTTTTAAAATTTCTTAATAATTTCAAATCTTGGCGTCAACTAATCCTTGCATCAGCCGCAGCATTTGTTTTGTTTAAAGAGATGACTGTATATTTTAAGGACTGTTGTTTAACTAACGTTGGTATAAATAAACCTCTAAGAAAAAATTTAACTTAGATGATTTAGGGATGCTTTTGGTCTAATTAAATTGTAAATTTTTACGATGAATTTTCTTTATGAACTACTAATAAAAGTTGTATAAAATAATATTTTAACATATTTGCTTAGCAAATAAGATGACAAAACTTCTCCAAAATTTGGAAATCCTTAAAATATAAAATTTAAGACCTGTTCATAGGACCGTCCTAAATTTTTATACTTTAAGGATTTCCGAATTTTAGAGAAGCTTTATCATTTTTATTTACTAAGTAAATATGTTAAGAATTTTATTTCGTGCGACTTTTATTAGTTAGTAGCTCACAAAGAAAAATTCATCGTAAAAATTTACAATTTAATTAAGACCAAAACAATCATCCCTAACTGCGCAATGTTTCAATAATCCTTTGAGTCCTTTAGACGTAGGGTATTTTTCTCGAG